CTTGCCGAAGCACCGACGAGGCCGACTCCACCGACTGCATCTGGTCCTTGTACGACGATCTTCTATTCGATACCCTATACACCGATTCAGAAACTTTGGAAAAGCCCAAAATGGAGCCCGTAATGGGGGAAATCGAAGAAGAAAAGCCCGAATCCTCCTCCGCCTGTAAGAGGAGGAAGAAAACCTGCATCAGCAGGTCCCTCAGGTCACATCTGGCCGACGGGATTTGGAATCTTAGCCGCGAGCAGGGGAACAAGCTGCTCGCTAGCCGGTTTAAGGACGATTGCCTGTACATATGCGATTGGCCAGGCTGCATTCACGTGGAGGAGAAAAGGAATTACATGCTTTTTCGAGGGATTTTCAAGGACTTCAAGCAGTCTAGGGTTTGGAGGACGATCAACGAAGGCGGCCGGATCAAGATAGACTTGCACTGCGCGTTTTGCTCGTGTAACCAGACATGGGACCTTCATTCCTCGTTTTGTTTGAGAAGGCATTTCGGGTTTCATGATGATGGTGAGCCCTTTGTTCGGGCTTATGTATGTGAGAATGGACATGTTTCGGGGGCGTGGACCAATTGGCCTCTCTACACTTGAGAGGAAAGTCGAAGTATTTGGTTGGTTTTATGGGAACAAAGCGAACTTCGAGATTTTGATAGCGAAAGGCATTTTCTTATTGCTAAAAATGCTTTGATTAATTCTTCGGTTAAATGTCGATTTCAATTGCTTTTGCGTAATGGAATTTGGATATGGAGCTTAATTTGTTGGAGCGTATAGGTGTTAAAATCTTGAATGTTTGCGTTATTTGACGGCTCTTCAGATGATCTTGTAATGTTTTGCTATGAAGAAGTTTGTTTCTGAATTTGTTCTCTTTGGAATGAACTATGAAGTGGGGGAAGTGTTAAAAAACATACAACTCTTTGAAAAAAGCTCGACTAAAGATGGCAACATCCCGTGATATTTCTCAAACCGTGCACTGAGTAGAGGGTTATTTTGTATCGGTAGGGGAACAAAGTGTACAAAAGTTGACTCGTTTGGTGTTTGAACGTCTACCATTGTCTCGTCCCGTGGGCTTTGGGGTTCAGTAGATCGCACGTTTGCACGACATATTTTTGCATGAGCCTGTTAACTCCAACGCGCATGTAATCGACTTGTGTGAATTTACGAGAGGGTGGTGACTAAAGAACATTTGAGGCAGTTGGTGAAGGATAAATCAAGAAAATGGCTTCTAAGTCTCTCAATGAGGAAGTTTATCGACATCTAGCTTTGCTTGTTCAAATGAAAGATAATAATTTAAGAGAAAAAAAAAAAAAAGAATTGGAAAAAAAATGCACTAAAGTTTGGTCTAAGTGGGCTTTTATGGGCTTAAATATCGCCTCGAGCAGCCTGTTAAAGTTTTTAGTAAGTTGTGGCCCGTGAATGGTTAGTGGCTTGGCTTACTTACTCAGCAAGTACAAATTATTGGGCCATACAATCTCTCATTCAGTTAAATCGCTGGTTCGTGAGTTCATCTCCAGGTGGTTTAAGACTCATTTTAGTTAACAAATTCAGGAGAGTTTGACACGTAATGACTATAAAATATTTTTTTTTTTATTTAATTTTATGCAGATTAACTTGGCAAGACTCAATTTTGACTTAAGTCACCTCATTAATACTGAATACTGATAAACGGATAGAGTTTGAATTCAAGGTTGACTCTGCTCGAATTGTTTACACTTACACATCTATCTCTAACTAAGAATGTAAATGAATATATTTAAATTATATTTATACTTCATTTGATTTAATTTTATTGAACTCGAGCTTATTATTATTTGAAACTAAATTGATTGTACTCGAAAAAAATAAATGTATCACAGTATTTTTACTATATTTCCATCCAGCCGAATATTTTTTTTTTGTTTTGAAAAAGAAGTATTCTAATTTCTCCTTAAACTTATCCTTTTGGCTTATTATATGCACTTGTTTAATAAAAGATTTGGGAAAATGCTACGGTCCCGTAACGAAATTATTTCGTCGAGTTTGTAATCGTTCGATCTTCATATGATCGTCAAAAATAATTGATCTAACGATTATAAACTCCGACGGAATAATTCCGATGGAACCATATCATCTCCCTCAAATTTAAAGATAGAGCGCAAGTCGCAAAGAAGATGCAAACTGGCACGTCATTTTCAGATAAGACCAAAAAAAAAAAAAAA